TTTCTGCACAAATAAAGTTTTTATGTGCATAGCAGCATACGCATATATTTATCATTTTATATTGTCGATCCTTTAGTGACGGGAGCTGGAGGTTTCATTTAATAATGCCAACATTTTATCATTACCCCCTAAAAATTATCCCAGCTTTCTGGCTATGTGATGGATTAACCTCACCCATACCTCCTAACAGCGGTGGCAGCAGGTGGTACACCAGTGCTCTCACAAGCCAGTTCCACGTGTTACACAACCACTTGCCCTGGAGGTATATTCTGGAGCCAAACCTGTTCCCAGAAGACTCATAACGAGGTTCAGAGCATCTCTGACAATCTGCACTAAACACCTTCCTCAGAGGTACCTCTCCCCTTCAGGGAGGGTCTGTTTAATTCTAAAATGGGGGGGCTGATTGAGCTGAATCCCCAAAGCATTGGGAGGTCTCTGCCCCGTGCTGTGGTCTACAAGGTTAGACTCAACACCAGGTGAGATCAGGCGAAGCTCTTCTGTTGAATGGCAGCCCATCACAATCCTGTGGTAAGCTGGCGGTGGTTTCCCAGTTTTGACCCTTCTTTTCTAAAACGAGCCTGGGAACTTCCCCACATCTGCTCATTTGCAAACTCCGTTTCTGTCTGAGGGCAGGTTTCACCGGCCTGCTGCCACTGCAGCGCTGGAGGAAGCCCAAGCAGAGCTGGGGGCTGGAGTGGTGCCCGGATGCTCTGCTCTGGGAGGCTGCCTCGTGTACAAAGACGACCTTATACTCTCCCGCCGAGGCTGCCTTTCATCCCACCCCATCCCAGGGAGCCCTCTGCAACTCCTGCCTTGCAGCCGAGACGCCGAAACCCAGGGGAGTCACATGGCTGCATGGCAGACGTTAGCAGATCTATTTAAATTGATTATACTGCCAACAGAACTGGTGCTGTCAATGTCCACTCACATTAAGGTTTCAGGAACATTTCATAACCGCCTGCCCTTTTAATTAAAAAATGTATTACCTCTGTTGCTGAGCCAGCAGTCTTTGCTGTCTCCCTAGCGCCACGTTAACTCAGGGAGGGACTGTGGCACAAGAAGAGGACCTTCTTGTGTCCTATTTCCCCCTCTCGAAACCTGTGGGCTGCTCGGGCATGCCTGCAGATGAACAAGGCTTTTAGGGACCGCAGCATGAACAATCTGCCCGAGGAGTCAGAAAGGACAGCTCGGACTCAGGGATGGGGTGGCCACCAGGAGCTGAAGCCAGGAACATTTCCTAAAACAGGGGGGAAGGAGCTCTCTCCAGTCAGCTGAAAGTGCCTGGTAGTCCAGAAGGTGTTTATAACTTCCAGCTGAGGACAAGTCAGCTGAAGTTCCAGTCTGCAAGAGAGACTCTCCGCACCAGCTGTTACAAAGGAGGCTCCTGTTCAGGCAAACCTGTAGGTATTCCTTCAGCGTGACTGCACACACGGCTCTTCAGGAGGAAGCCGGTGGCCTCCTTCATGCTGAAGTTTTGCAAAGTTATTTGAAGGGGCATTGTTTTTCTGGCCATCCCTGTAACCTTTTTTTTTTGTTGTTTCTGACACGTCACCTCATTGCTTTATGGATTTCTGTGCCGAGGAGCGGCTGGCTGGAGAGCTGAGCTTTCTGGCAGTTCCCTTATAAGGCAAAGCTCCAGGCTCAGCTGGGTTTAGCTATTCCCTTACTTTTTAGTCTTCATTGCAAAATTAGACCTGCGCCCTGGTATCCGTTTTGCCAGTATCAAACTGGAAAGATGAAAACAGAATTCCTCTTTTTTCTTTCACTAAATACCAGCTGACTTCACCATTTTAAAAAAAAACAGCCAACCCCCCTCCCCCCCCCCCAAAAAAAAACCCCAACAACCCAGCGCAGAGGAATTGTACTGCTGGTACAATTGGCTTTGCCCACCAACAATAGCCTGTAAACTCTTCAGCACTTGTCTCTTTATCACATGTTCATATAGTGCTTAACTCTACAGAGCTCTGCCCCTCGTCCCTGATCCCTGGGCATTACAGTCATCCAGGCACTACAGGAAACAGGGAAAGCCTCATCAAACAATGCCCCGCGATGATTTGAGTTACCAGGAGTCTGGGCTGGGCCCTTACTCATCCCTCCCAGGAGCCCTCGCACAAAGGGTACCAGAGAATGGGTAGTAACACACACACCAGCCCAACTCCCTCCCTTTTGAGCCTTTAGCCAAAAAACTGCTGCTGTCTCAAAGCCTAGGAATGCAAAGCCATTCGCAGATGACAAGTGCTTCAGTCACAGCAGCAGCAGTACTGAGAAGCAAAAGGAAGGGACAGAACAGCATTCAGACAGTGGCTACATATATTTACACTACACTCAAGTTGGGAGCCAGGTTTGAGCCCAACCACGTTCCTGCTTGAACTGACAACACTCAGCCCAGATCTCTCGATTCCTAAATTTTCAAGGAAGCTCCAGAGATGCAAGTTTGCACTTAGTTCTGCACATCATTGCTATGTACTAGGTAACGTTACTCTGTGTCAACCATCATAAATCCCTCATGTCTTAACAATTAACACCTCACCGCTCTGTAAATCGGATCAAACATTTGCCTGAAAAAAATGTGCTTTTCTTAAAGAAAACCTGCTGCCCAGATCCAGTTTTGGGCACAGATTCAATGAACTATTGAAGCAAGGTAACAGAGAAGATGATAATCTGCGCAGACAGAGCAGCTGAGGATAGCAAGCCAGGGGCCAAGAGTATCTTTAGCCTTCAACCTTCTCTGCCTAAGCACCAGAAATTACTTTGGGATAGCAAACTGGCAGGATTTATAATTTATTTTTAAATGATTAGCAATATCCCCACTGATTTTTCTGCGGGTCCACGATTGGTCTGCTTAAAGGTTGACAACTTGAGCTACAAATGCACGTCACCGTGCTCTGCAAGGCAATTCAAGGGAGTCATTGTGCGCTCCTCAGCTTGGAGATGACTCACTTCCAAAGTTGAAATGCCACTAGTTATGTGGTGGTTTCTCAAACCTCAAGAGCATTCAGTTGCAATAATGTCATAGGGGAAAAAAAAAAAAGGAAAAAAAAAAAAAGGCTTGTTAGCTGAAGGGAGAAGCTGAAATTTGTCACCTTGCAGCTGCTGCCTGCTTTATTTGTTCCCTGTCTGGTGGGCCATCACCTCACCAAGTGCTGCTCCCCTTTGAAGGGACACTGATGACCACTTTGCAAACACAGTCCATAACAGACCCCCCCTCCCAGACCCCCATGGTCTTTTTTTTTTTTCCTCCCCAACAAAATATCTGCTCAGCGAGGAGGCCACGGGGCCTGTACGTGGTTGGGAGAGGAGGGCTGTCTCCGTGCGCTCCAGCAGCAGCATGTGAGTGCCTGGACATGTGCAGAGTCAATGGGGGATTTACTGCTCCACCCAAAATTAATCTCATAATAATCAAAGGTATTTGTGCATCAGCATGCACTTCACTGTAGATAAGCAGGGCTACTGTGCGACAGGAGGCTTGTCTATCAGGGAGGGCCCGTCATATCTCCCATTGCTTTAATGGGTGATCTTACAAAGAAATCAGAGCGAAGGCCAGGATGTCATAAAAGCTACTGGAGGACAACAAAAATGTTTTGGACTGTAGGTTTGCAGTGCGAGGAGAAGAGTTGTGGTGCACTTTTTTTTGTTGTTGTTGTGTTTACTTCCTTGAGTAGAACCACCACGTGTACCACAGCGACGGCTCCATCCAAAATAACATTTTTATGCATGTGTGAGAGAAGGAGGAGGAGGAGAACTAAGAACGAACCGTGCTGTTAAAACAATGCAAACTGGATATGCAGAAGTGAGGGATGTTTTTGTTTCTTCTACAAAGTCACCAAGCAAAACAAAAAACCTGTTATGACTAAATTCAACTTGTTCTGAGCCAGTCTCCCTGTTTCCTCCTGCGCCTGCCGTACCCATTGAGCAGCATAAGGCATAGCCCTTCCCTGCTGTAAGAGCGAAATCAGCCCAGTTTGAGAACTGGCACATTATAGCAGGCGTGGCCACTGACAGGGATCTTTCATCACGAAAAACAAACAAACAAACCAACCAACCAAAAGAAAAATAATAATCCCCGCAGAAAATACATCAGCCCCAGCATTTTCCTCATGCCACTGACATTAATTATGGGAGCAAAACCATTACTGTGCAAATGTCCCAGCCGTATCAGGCGGTGCCTTGCTGCCCTTCCCAGGAATGGCTCTTTGCTCTGCAAGTGCTGCAGGGCAGAGACATGTCTTCCAAGGCTTTGAAGTTCTTAGCATGCTACTGGCACCCTATAAAAGTATTGCAAAATATACACAGGCATATATCTGCATGGATTATTATTATTAAGGACGTTGCTCTATTTGTTGGTTATTTCCCTGTGCTGCAGCTACCTTACTCTGGTTTCTGATAAGCTCGTTATAGCTTTACACAAACGCAAAGGTAATCTAGAAAATGCAAACGATTAGTAATTTCCCCAAGAAATCTAATCTGCGATAGAAAGTGCGTCATTTTGCAGGACGGGTCCTCAGAGCAATTAAGAGCTGGTGAGAAAAGCTGTCCAGAAGCACAGCCTAGAGGTGCAGGCTGATACTGCACTTCAGGGCGCAGGGCTCGAACTGAGATTGGGGGAAACCAGTTTGTTCGAGAAGGTGAAGCCCTCCTAACGGAATAAAAATGGGTCATGGATGCGAAGGGGATACAAGTTTTGTGGTTCCTGGGGTGTAACATCCAACTGTTCCCTCACAAGAAGGAAAGCCTGACACCCTTTCTGGGGAAGGGGCTGCCAGAGGATCTCCAAACCAGTTATGAAGATGAGCAGAGTACCAAAAAAAAGGGTGAACGAAAACTGAATCATCATATTAGTGATGATTTTTCCTCAAAGCTCTTCTCCAGTGAGAGTGATTTAGACACCACAATTTGTACTATTGCCTCCTTTTCCAACAAGCCAGAAAAACTTGGAGCCCTGCAAGCATTATTTACAACAAGTATAGAGAAGGTAAATGTCAAAAGGAAACGTCACTTACCTCATGGTGTGGGTGCTGGTCTTCAAGGACCTTCCTGAGTAGCTCTGCACACAGCCTGCTCATGCTGCTGGCTATCCCTTCCATCTCCACCCCCTTTCCCATGGTGCTTTCACAGGGAGAAGTCCAAACTCCATATTCCTGTGTCCCCAGGACATTGCTTTTATCACCAAGCACCACCAAGAACCCAATGGCCTCCTCTAGTTCTACCTGCATAACCCCAGCAAGCTTCTACAACCAGAGAACCTGGGGGCTGTCAGGCCCTCACCCATCACAGGCAAAGCTATGCTGGTACCAGCTTGCTGTGGTTACCCAAATCAGGGGTGGGGGAAGAGGAGGAGGGACCCCACTGGGTGCTAATGTTCAGGTGTGCTCCCTGGGTGTCATACATCACAAACGAGGGGTCTTTTGAGTTCTCCCCTGCCCAGGCAGCTCCCTCTCCAGCATTCTCATGACTCCCAAATATATGCAAATTGCAGTACGTGTCCCAAAAAAGGCAGGCATTCAGCCACTCCAGAACTAATGAACAAGGGTGTCTCTCCTCTGATATCCCTAAAAAAGCCTGAGTTTCAGCTGCATGGCAATTTTTCAAAATTGGCTCCACTTGAGAGGTTTCAAATGGGATGGCCAACTTTCTCCTACGACTCTTCAAAATATCAGCCTTAATATTTGCCCTGTGAAGGTCAGACACAATTTGAAGCCACTTAACTGCTCCCAGGTAATTCAGTCATGCTGTTAACAGTGGCGGGTCTGTGTGCAGAAATCGACTGGAATAACTATTTCTGGATCACTGCAGACATTTTATTCAGGGATAAAGGGAACATTATTTCCCCGATTCTTGGTTTTTTCTTTATTCTTTTTTTTAGGGGGGGGTGGGAAGTCATATGGAGGCAATCATCACACGGGCATCTGGGAGAGATTCCAGAGCAGAATCAAAGAACATTTTTTTTTTTCTCTGTTGCTATTCTGGTAATTTTCTTCATGTGGAAAAATCCTGACAACGGTTGAGCTCGCAGTGTTGCTCACCTCTCTTAGGGCATGGAGAGGTGTCACATACAACCTACTTTAGATCTTAGCTGTTTCATCTACACACATGAAGTCGTGCTGGTAGGCACTCGGGTCTGTCAGAGATTTCCAAAAGCTTTGGGATCTGCTGCAGGAATCCTCCCGGTCAGGCAATGACCCTTAGTTCTGCAAATCCCTCCTTAGCAGCTCATTCATCACTGCTTGTGTTTTCAGAAGTGAAAACCAAGAGAGAGATACCATGGAAAAAAAAGAAGTTAATTTATATTATAAGCAGACAGGAAAGCTGCATTTTTATAAAGAATGTGTGTGTATATGTATCACAGAATTGTAGGGATTAGAAGGGACCTTCAGAGATCATCTAGTCCAACCCCCCTGCCAAAGCAGGTTCACCTGGAGCAGGCTGGCCAGGAATGCATCCAGGTGGGTTTTGAATATCTCCAGAGAAGGAGACTCCACAACCTCTCTGGGCAGCCTGTTCCAGTGCTCTGGCACCCTCAAAGTAAAGATGTTTTTCCGCATGTGCAGATGGAACTTCCCGTGTTCCAGCTTGTGCCCATTGCCCCTTGTCCTGTCACCAGGCACCACAGAGAAGAGCCAGATCCCATCCTCTTGACACCCGCCCTTTAGATATTTATAAGCATTGATGGAGGTCCCCTCTGAGTCTTCTCCAGGCTAAACAGACTCAGGTCTCTCAGCCTTTCCTCATCAGAGAGGTGCTCCTCCATTCCCTTGATCATTTTCATAGCCCTCCGCTGGACTCTCTCCAGCAGTTCCCTGTCCTTCTTGAACTGGGAGGCCCAGAACTGGACACAGAACTCCTGTACATATATATATATATATATGTGTGCATTTCCTTTGCACTCTCCCTACAAACCAGCAGGGTGTGCCTGCAGACCAGCTTTCTTACACATACACAACTCATTTTTTGCCTTAAATGATGCAAACTCTCTTCTTTCTGCATCACAGCTTTCTTCAGAAAAAAAAAAATAAAAAAAAAAATTAAGAGGCTAAGCACCCCAGTTAAACTAACAAAAAAGGATCATCCTTGCTGACACCACACCACCCTTCTGTAGTATCTCACTAAAGAGTACAATTAAACTGCAGCAATATGTAAAATGAGCCCTAAGCCAAGAAAGGGACATCACCTCTGGTTTTCTAATGAACATAAAATACTCCCAAGACTCCTCTCTCCGCTCCCTGCTCTTAGGCGGATCAGCTTGGCAGCCTTCCCACCAGGACCTCTAAAACTAGATTTCCTGGGAAGGCAAACAAGGGCACGGTGGCTCCTTCTTCCACCTCAGTCCCTCCAAACCCTGCTTAGCACCACTAAATTTAGTGAGTTCTCCGGCTCACGGGGTCGAGAAGGGACCATGCCTCTGCGAAGTGCCCCATTGGCAGCACAGCCAAAGCTGCCTCCAAGAACTGGAAGCAAACGGTGGACTGCACCCCACTGAAAGCCAAATCTAGGCAGAATAATACTTTTATAATATCCGGCAATTTAGTTGACTGCTGAGTGAAGCGCACAAGGAATTGAGCTGTGCAAAAAGCCGGGGGAAATAGCATTTTAAGCCCTTTAAAAGCACTTTGTGCTGCTAAAAGGAACGCCTGATTTTTCCCTGCTGCTGCACGTTGCAATATTGTGCACATCAATCCGTGAACTCACCTCCACTGACCCAAAAGAGTTACAGCTGGCATTTGATCTATTTTTGACGCTAATGCAGAAAAACTGTCCTGGATCACTAGCAAATGCCATCTGCTCTTTGCAACTGAAATGCCATCAATTCACACACCAGGGCCAGGAGTTTCAAAAATAGCTAGTCTAAAGTGAGATGCCTCGATTCGTATTTTGGCACCTGCCTGACTTTCAGGGAGAGCTGAGTGTGCCGCAGCTCCCATTAACCTGAACCTGAATTGGGTCCCCCCTGCCACTGCAGCCTTGATGGTGTCCTCCGGGCTTCCCCAGTCCAGGGACTAGCAAAAAAGGACAGTTTTGTAATAAATGCTGATTTAGCAGTCTCCCAGATGAGTGAAATTCTCCAAAGCATCCAGAAAACCAAAGTTTGAAGTGACAAGAATGCTACTGATTTTCCATTTCTTAAGCGAGAACTACCTTTTAGCTCTGTTACTTTACAAAAATAATGAAGTTAGAATGGTAATTTTCACCTTACGGAGATAATAAAGGACAAACTCCAGTTTTAGTGTTTACAAGGTGGAAAAAGGTTTGCAGAAGCAATGGGAATGCTATGCCAAATTTGCAGCTACAGTCCATTGTGCCCTATTTACACAAAGGACTGTTGGGAATGTCCTTGTTCCTACCACACTGATACACCTAATTCATTTTCTTCTGAAGGAGACCAGAGAAACGCAGTCTCACATCTACCGTATAGGTCCAGGAAGAAATTTCTGTGCCAGTGGAGATCCGGCATTTATACAATGCAACATAAAAATCCTGAAAGCTATAAAAGATGTTTTCGCTGTATTAGTGACTATCATTTTGATGTGAAACCCGCTTTAATGAATACCTGACAACTAAACCTTTTAAAGGAATGATTTCACTTGACATGAGTGCATTCAACTACTGTTTGTTGAACGATATTCTTCTTAAACAGCCACCCAAAGCATTGAGTGACACTGTTAAATCAGGGGTTTGCAACCTTTGCAGCACTCAGGACCACATTTGAACCTGTTGGTGCACTCGGGGCGATACTAGATTTAAGAATAAGTTGAGGGGGATTTGCATAAGCAGAGAGAGGCCTTCACCAAGTCAGTATCTGTGATGTAGCCAAAGAGCAGTTCTTAACACAAACATTATCAGGTTTTCTATATTGTACACAAAATATTGTTTTCCAGCCAGCATATTAATTTCTTCCCCCCCATCAAACATGGGCAGATATAAAACCAACTTCCAACCACAGGCCAGGTGCTCACCACTTTCAGGTCAGGTCTGGCAGCCTGTAATTCCTGCTCAGCTCCAGCCTCACCTCTCCAGCTGGAGCAGAAAAGGGGTGTCTAAATATGCCCTGCAGCTCTGCCGCCCTCCCAGGCTCTGCAAAATGCTGTCCAAGCACACTTTGACTCAGCAGGTCCCTCCTGCACTGGTGGAGTCCACCAGATTCTTGGTAGGACCCGTGGAGGTTAGCAAGCTTGCAGTCAAAGGGGTCTCCATGCTCCTGCTCCCCATCACTACTGCCTTCGTCCCACAAACACAGCGGGCAGTTGAGCTAACATGAAACTGATCACATCTTTACAGCAAAATGACAAAGCATACAATAAAAATTTGGCCATGTTCAAGAGCTCTGTTTTGATGTGAAAATATGGTACCTTTCTCTACAGTAATGGCATTAAGCTACCTTGCATTGGTTCACATTCTGAGCACTTCCAGTCGCCACTGAAATAATTTGAAGTTTTATTAGTTTAGGGGTGGGTTTTTTGGGTTTTGGTTTGTTTTTTTTTTGAAAGCTCATCTTCTGCCGAATCAGAGAAATCTTAACATCTAGGGAGATGTGTCCTGCACAGATAAGTGCCTCGAACAAGTACTTTCCGACCTGCCAAAATGAGTCAGAGTACTGAGAACACTAACTCAGAGCACCAAGAAACCTCGTATGGGCACACGGTAAGAGATGCATGCTTTTGAGAAAAATATAAAGCCACAAAGCAGCAGCTCGTTTCTAAAGGGCAGCCATGCCCTTTTTTTACCAGCAGGTGTCATATGGAAATAAGATGTCTCAGCTGACTCTGCATCCCCTGCATGGGGGCAACAAGCCTGTCCCCAGTTCAAGGTGTAGATGTTCCTGACAAGGAGGGTTATCTCCCAGCTGGGCAAGGACCGTGATGGTTCACAGATGGGTTACATCCCACGTAGGGGACCTGGGTAGCATTTCAGAAGCTGCCTCTCACTAGGGAGTTCCCTAAAGGGACACACCACCCTTCTTTCTCACATGAATAATTACTGATATAGGGCAAAGATATCTGACAACTGATGCTTAGCTGCTTCGTT